TCCACAATCCACTTTTTAAAATTATTTGTTCTGATAATTTTAACAGGATATTTTTTATAATATATGTTATCTTTCCAAGAATAGATTAAAGAGTCATGATATGGAAGAACAATTAGTATAGCTATATGATAATGATTACAACTTTAATTTGCACAAGAAGGATTTTTAAATTAGAGCTGCTTTTCAGCAGCCCAACTAAACTAGATGATGAAAAATTGATAGTTATCTAATCTGGATAACATGTGTATGATCACATTCCAGTTCCTGTCATGTATGTATGTAAAAACATATGACAGATTCCAACCACTTACTTTGGCAGCATCTGTGCCATGTTCATGGTGATTTGGGAGCCCCAGTCTCCACCTTGCAAGTAATATTCCTGGAAACCCAATCTCTGCATCAGCGTGTGAAAAATCCGAGCAGCAGCTAATGAGTTAAAACCTGTTAGTTGGGATAAACGTGATATTAAAAATGTGTTTGTCTTGAACTTAACATATAATCAGAAGAAGCCAAAGAGAATAAAATTCAGATCTGACATCAGAAAAGTCAATATTCAATAAGCGTATGGGAAGCATTTCAAATTCACAGGATTCCTGAACACAGAAACTACTAAAAATGATTTTATTATGACATAGCTGAACTTCAGTGCACGGCTCAGTTTAATCTGTGGCATTAACATTGATGTGCCTTTTATCACTTGTAGCATTCATAATGCAAGAAAGCCTGCATGAGTCACAAGAGCTGTTGTATATAATCAGGTGACTTCTAGATGGCACAGGTAGACAAAAGAACTAATTTCTGCCACCTACCAGTAGTAGTTGTGTAACATGGATTTAGCAACCCCAGACACAAACTAGTACCGTTAGTTTGCCAATAGTCTGTACCTTTTGCATTTCATTTCTGTTTTACCTCATTTTGATAATCTCTTCTCTTCCTTATACCTGAAGAAATAGTCCATCCAAACCAAGGCCACAATAAATCCACTAACTCTTAAAATGACATAAGACTGTATTGACATATAGTTGTATAGCCATAGAGTGCCCAACATGTTAGAATAGAATAGAGCTGGAAGGAACCTTGGAGGTCCTCTAGTTCAGCCCCCTGCTTAAGCAGGAGAACCTATACCATTTCAGACAAGTGACTGTTTAGTCTCTTCTTAAAAACCTCCAGTGATGGAGCACCCACAATTTCTGAAGGCAAGCTGTTCCACTGGTTAATTGTCCTTGCTGTTAGGAAGTTTCTCCCTAATTCCAGGTTGCTTCTCTCTTTGATCAATTTCCAACCATTGTTTCTTGTCCTGCCCTCTGGTGCTTTGGAGAATAGTTTGATGCCGTCTTCTTTGTGGCAGCCCCTCAAATACTGGAATACTGCTATCATGTCTCCCCTGTTTCTTCTTCTTTTTAGACTAGCCAAACCCAAATCCTGCAGCCATTCTTCATATGTTTTAGTCTCCAGGCCTTTGATCATCTTAGTTGCTCTTCTCTGAATTTTTCCAACCTCTCAACATCTTTTTTGTGATATGGTGACCAAAATTGGTTGCAGTATTCCAGGCATGGTCTTATTAAGGTTTTTTAAAGCGGTACTAATATGTCACATGATCTTGATTCTATGCTTCTGTTTATACAATCCAGGATTATATTGGGTTTTTTTGGCTGCTGCTGCTGCTGCTCACTGCTGTCTCATAGTCAAGTGATTGTCAACTAGGACTCCAAGGTCCCTCAGCCAGGTCTTGCCCAATCTGTACTTGTATCTTTGATTTTTCCTGCCTAAATGTAAAACTTTGCTTTTCTCCACATTGAAACTCATTTTGTTGGATAGGGCCCATTGTTCAAGTTTGTCAAGATCTTTTTGGATCCTGAGCTTATCTTCTGGGGTGTTGGCTATTCCTGCCAGTTTAGTGTCATCTGCGAATTTGATGTATTCCCCTTCTATTCCCTCGTCTAAGTCATTTATGAAAATATTAAAGAGTACTGGGCCGAAGATGGAGCCTTGTGGTACCCCACTGTTTACTTCTCTCCATGTGGATGTAGTTCCATTGAGGACTACTCGCTGAGTACGGTTTGTCAGCCATCAACAGATCCAGCTGATAGTGTTGTTGTCTATCCCACCTTTTTCTAGCTTACTAAGCAGCAGGTTGTGGTCTACTTTGTCAAACGCCTTACTAAAATCTAAGTATACTATGTCCACAGCGTTTCTTTGGTCTACTGATTTAGTCACTTTATCAAAGAATGAAATAAGATTGGTTTGGCATGATCTGTTTTTGACAAACCCGTGCTGGTTACTGGTTATAACTTTATTTGCTTAATATTATTCCATGTTTCTCTATAAAGAAAAAAAATATCATTATTATTTAATTATAATAAATTAAAACTGTTTGCTAGGAAAATAACTTACCCTGATGGTGGGGAGGCTCAGAAAAGCCATAGCCCGGGATGGATGGACAAATGATCTCAAAGACTACATCTTCACTGTTTGAAACACGACCGGGTGGATTAATAAGCAAAGGAATGATCTTGTAAAATTCATAAAAGGAGCCAGGCCAGCCATGCACCATCAGCAAAGGTCTGACAATTTGGTCTTCTAAGATATGAGATGGTTTCACACGAATGAAATGAACTTCTATCCCTGTTGGAAATTCAATACAATTAACAGTGAGTGCTAAATGAGAGCCAGTTTGGTGCAGTGGTGAAAGAAACTGGGAGACCATGAGTTCTAGTCCTGCCTTAGGCACAAAGCCAGGTGGGTATCCTTGGGCCAGTCACTATCTCTCAGCCTAGGAAGGAAGAAATGGCAAACCACTTCTGAAAAATCTTGGCAAGAAAAATGCAGGGACCTTTTCCAAGCAGTCTCTAAGAATTGGACATGACTGAATGGAACAACAACACCCCATCCCCCACCCCCTGCTACTGTATAACAGAGGAAGTTTAATGTGAAATTCAAAAACAGGCAGGACCAGAGATATTTGTTCCATTCTAGGAGAGCTATATATAAAGCTCAGTGGGGAAGAATTTACCTTCAATAGTAGTTTTATAATGTGGGTACTGGTTAAGGATTTTAACTTGTTTCTCCCAGTCAAACTGATTTCTCCAATAGGAGACCACTTTCTGCAAATAGTCTGAGTTGAAACCATAATGAAAGGCAGCTCCCTCTAGTGGTGGTGTATAGCGAGTCTGGTCAAGCCTTCGGTACAAATCCTACAAAGAGAGAGAGAGAATTTCTTATGGAGATGATACTATATTAGATATTTTAAAAGCATGTTGTTGCTGGAGAAGGCAGTCTAAAAAGACAGCTGTTTGTATTTTACTTGAACTCATGCAACACTGGACAGAACTGTAGTTGCATAATATTCTACATAGTAGCTAATGGGACACATAAGTATGCATATATTATACAATCTATAATGAACTTCTGACACATATTTGACATGCCAAATGTAACATAGTTATTATATAGTGTGAGGTAAATGATGCACAATAATATATAAGGACAGACATAAGGGATGTTCATAGTTGAGTTGCAGTCTGCCATAAAGGGGGTTGGGTGGGTCGATTCTGCACTTGCAGCCGCCATCTTGATTCCTCTAATCTTCCATGTGGATCACTCTGGCAGTATAGTTAATTTTCAAAGTCTCTTAAGTTCGCTCATGTTCCTTCATACCTGGATTTCTTTCTCAGACGTTTTCACTTGGAATGGTCTAATCATATGATTTTCTTGACTTCTTGATGGTTTTTCACCTAACCCCCACCATCCATCTCCTATTTCTAGGGTCTTCATCCTGCGCCTCGTCAGGAGCCAGTAAATCAGGAGGCTTCCACCTCCTACAACACAAGATGCTGTGATCACATTTTGCTGAGATGTGTCAAAAGACCTACAAAATAATCAAAATAATGTGAGGTAGAAGCTGAAAGGAACTCTGATGAAAGAAGAAAAATGACATTTGCAGCCTGCCCCTGCAGATAAAATGATGAGCTTGTGAAAAAAGATTTCCCCAGAATTTAAAATATAAATGAGTTTCAAGATAACAGATCATTGAGATAGCATGGATTATATCTGGACAGGGATGTCAGAGAATGGATTGAAAGAGGCAGGATGATAGCCACAATCATGAGATCAAAAGCTCTATACTTTTTATACATCTTGTATTGAACACGGTAGCAAAGGGATGGGACTTCAGTCTTATGGCCACTGTGTTTTTAACCCTTCCTTAAAGACATCGCTGCATCTTCATACAATTCTGCCACCCTTTCATGCTGATGCTTGCTACACAACAGAAATGGCGAACCCAGTTTCTATCAGTAAGGTAAGTAGTGGCACCTGAAATAAAAATTGGGGAGCAGAGAACATACAATGGGTAAAGTGTATAAGTCTTGTTTGTTTTTTTCTTGGACAGGCAAGTTTGTCCCTGATTTATTTATCAACTTCCCTAGAAAAGCCAAAGCAAAAAACAACTGGTTGTCTAGAAGCCTACAGATTCAATGACTGAAGAGCTTGACCATACTGAGTCTCAGCTCAAGCCACAGAAATATATCAGTATTTCTCAAACGTGACGACTTGTCGATATGTGAACTGACACACTTCAACAGATATTAATCTGCATCTGGGTGGAACTTCAAAGTGTATTGGGTGTGGAAGCTAGCTGAGTAAAAAGACTTGAAAACTTGTAGCGATTTGCAATACTGTAGTTAGTTTATTAAAGATATCGGCTTTCAAGCTTTGGATTTTTCACCCCTCACGAAACATAGCTACTATGGCTTTTTCAAATATTTAGTAATAAAGGGTGAAGACTATCAGTGGAAAAAAGCATGTAAATTTCCAAAAACAACAGCACAATCCTTTATAGAGAATGAGCAATAGCTACACATTGGGTGTAGTGTGGGGAGAAGATTATCTACCTGAAAAAGAACCTTAACTAAATGAATGATCTATTAAAGCCAAATAAACAGTGCACATTTCATTTTTGAAAACCTTACTCCAGCGTCTTCTTCAAGGTCTCTTCAAACAACTATTAACTTGGCACATGATTTTGGGTTATATATTTACTTTTTTTGCAATAGAAAAAGCCTGAAACTGCCCTTTGCCCTGGGATCAGTGGCATATGAAGAAAAAAACAGAGAAATTATTTTAGTTTCCATCCAAGCAGAGACATAATAATAGCATATCATCTATATAGTGTTTAAGAATTTAAAATGCTTCTCCTTCTCATCTTTAAACTTCATTCTAAGGTGCTGCTATTATTCCCAAATGTTAATTGAATATAGGAAAGACAGTGACTTATGTAAAGATCGTTTAGTGATTTATTTAATATTATTTAGTGCTTTCCTGGCACAGAGAAAAAAACTTCTATTTTCTGTAATGTAGCTGGAAATATTTCATGTAGGGCACTTCTCTAGGGCAACATTTCTTTAATCTTTCCAAATTACTTTGAAGTCAGCAGTGTGATTGTCTTCACTCCTATAGTGCTGTTTCAAACTGATCAATAAGGGAGAGGAAAAATGGTCATTTACTCCTCTTATTCCTAAATTACCATGAACTCTGGGTTAAGAAGATTATTCTTTCCCCACTTGATTTTTTTTCTGATTTCCTGCAGATTCAGCGTCTTCTTTTTTTGGATCAACCAAGTATTGATCTATTGGTTGCAACAGAAATTGACCAACTGGCTTGTTGCCTGAGCCTGACATTATAGGCTGAGAAACCGTGACTGGTCTAAAGTCACCCAACTGGCTTTCATGCTATGGTGGTACTAGAACTCACAGCTCCTGGTTTCTAACCTGGCGACTTAACTGCTAGAAAAAAATGGCTCTCTCTTATTCCTCACTTAATGTCAAAATGATTTTTTCAATGTTAGCGACCTCCAGGATCTATCTATATTGTTTGATTAGGAAGCTAAGTCCTACAAGAGCCTAATATTTGTGGGCCCTGTTGCTGATCTCTATCCTGTCTCTGCTGCTTCTGTATCATTTCATTAATAAATGGAGCTATTCTGATTATGCATTTAGTGTGAATATATAAAGCAATTGGATGAATTACCCCTTTCTTTTGCTCATTATTACCTGGCAAGGAAAACATCACCTTCCCACTGTGTACAGGACTAGGTCTAACCACAGAACTCTGTCATTGCTATGCTCTTTTCTATATCCTACTCCTGCATTCCATTCAATTGCATAAATTTCTAAAAAACATCAATCATTAATGGAGCTAAGTCATAAGTAGATCTTTTACTTATGATTCCTGCCCTCCCTGCTTTTTTTCTTCTTGTTATATATGCCAGGGGTCCCCAACTCTGGTTCCGTGGACCGGTACCGGGCTGCGGCATGTCTACAACCGGGCCGCACAAACAAGCAAAGCCCCATCAGTGGGATGCAGGCAGCACACAAAACCATTCCCCCTCTTGCCACATAACCGGTCCCTGGTGCCCAAAAGGTTGGGGACCTCTGATATATGCAATAAAAAGCTGATTGGTGGTTTCCTTTGTACTCCTTTCAGAAGCAACAGGGATAGGGGAGAGGTTGGTGTCATCGTTCCATTTTTACATGATTTCACCTTGCACTAAACTGATAAGAGCTAGGGAGATAAAATGCTTAGCCAACTGAAACAGGCTTAATTTAACACTCAGTGTGTTTCCAGGTGCAATTCAAGGAGCTGGTTTTCAGACATCATGGTTTAAAGATTTATTTATTTTATTCAATTTCTATGGCTGCTTTTCTTAAACAAGTGACTCTGGATGGCAAACAAGTAAAAATAGAATATATATATGTGGTAACTGAAAAAAAGAGAGAATTGTAGATGTTACCATAACCATGAAATGGGACTTTTCACAAACTTGGTACCCCAGGCCCGGGTGCATAATCAAGCCTGGGCATATAACCAGTTCTTCAAGGCTTTACAAAACACCAACAGTTTCGGGCGCATCCTAATCTCTGGAGAGAGATTGTTACAACAGGGGTTATAGCAGAAAAGCCACCACTGCTAGCCAGCTAACATTCCTTGGCTGTTGGAACCCAGAGCATGCCCAACCCGCCAAACTGGATTGGATAGATAAAAACAATTTAGAGAAAACAATCCCTCAGGTAACTGAGTCCCAAAGCCACAAAGGGTTTTGAAAGTGACAACCAACCCCTTGAATTGCACCTGAAAACACACACTATTAACCGATGCAACTCACGTAGCAGTTGTGTCAAACATCCAACACCTTTTACTACCTAGACAGCTGCACTGTGCACCAGTTGAAACTTCTGAAGGCTATTCAAGAGCAACCTCATGTAAAGCATGTTGCTGTGAATTATATAAAAGAATATCTCCAAAGAATTTAGCTGTTCAGAGTCCTTATGTGGTTGATTCAGCACCAAGGAATTTTAGGAATGTTAATTTGAAACAGACTTCAAGTTCACTTCCTCAATCTTTTGCAAAGGGAAAAACTACAGTATGGTTCTTCCATTTTATCCTCAGGACAAAATGTACTTTCCTTCGTTCCATGCATATATGTATGTTTCCTTATGCCAAGAGAATTTCTCCACCATTTTTTTCTATGCATAATTACATAAGAGGCAAGAATTAAAATATACATCTACAGCCTGAGGATGCAAGCACTGCAACTTCATTGCTCCATAATAAAATCTTATCGCTTTTATAGCACCCATTTGTGTCCATAACAACTAGGAGTGGCTGCCTTGATATTGAAGATCTGCCCTCCCCTCCAGCAGCAGTATGATCGGTGCTTCTTCACTACCCAACTGGCTTCTTTGGTAGAAATCCAGGCAAATGTAAACTGCCTGTCACTCAAATGCTGCCTTCTCCCTAGTTTGCTTGCCGCTTTTTACACTCACCGGACAGTCTGCAGAAACTCCTGCCACATGTCTGCAATTAAGAAGAGCCACGCATAA